CCCCCCCGGCCCCCCCGTGTCCCCCCCCGACCTGCAGGCGCAGTCTGGGCGCTCCTCCGGGGCCGCTCTCGGTGCTCAGGCAGCGGGAGCCGCTCCGCACGCTCAGGATCACCGGCAGCCGCGCGGGCTGCAGGGCTCGGTTGGGCACCCAGAACACCTTCTCTGCAGGCGACACGGGGTGACACTCAGCGCGTGTCCCCCGCGTGTCCCCGTGTCCCCACGCGTGTCCCCGTGTCCCCCCGTGTCCCCACGCGTGTCCCCCCGCGTGTCCCCGTGTCCCCCCGTGTCCCCACCCGTGTTCCCCCGTGTCCCCACGCGTGTCCCCCCGTGTGTCCCCGTGTCCCCACGCGTGTCCCCACCCGTGTCCCCCCGTGTCCCCACGCGTGTCCCCCCGTGTGTCACCTTCCAGCGCGGCGTTGGCGCCCTGCAGGTGCCCGGCCAGCAGCTGCTCCCCGCGCAGGTACAGCGACTTCTGGTTCACGTCCCACAGCCTGCGCGGGGCAGAGCGGGGACAGCGGTGCCACCACCGTGTGTCCCCTCCCGGGCCACCCCCGCTGTCCCCGCGCTGTCCCCCCTTACCGGTACTGGAACACTTTGGTCTGCAGGGAGGGCGCCTGGCAGAGGGCGAAGCCTTCGGCCTCTGCGCGGAGGAAGAGGAGGGCGAGGCTGACGGCGGCCACCGCGGTCACCCGCAGACCCCCGAGCCCCCTGCCCGCGCCCCCCGAGCTTTGGGGACCCCTCCCGAAACTCGCGGCGGTGCCACCGGCGGTGGCCAGCGCTGCGCGTCCCCTGCGGGCCGTGCGCGGGGTCCCCGGGCGGCGCTCACCCATGGGACCCCCGGCTGTGCTGCGACCCCCGGCTCCCGTGGGACCCCCGGCTCCCGTGGGACCCCCGGCTCTGCTGCGACCCCCGGCTCTGCTGCGACCCCCGGCTGTGCTGCGACCCCCGGCTCCGCTGCCACCCCCGGCTCCCGTGGGAACCCGGCTCCCGTGGGACCCCCGGCTCCGCTGCGACCCCCGGTCCCCGTGGGACCCCCGGTCCCCGTGGGACCCCCGGCTCCGGGCGCTGCGGGAGGTGGCGAGGGAGGAAGGAAGGAAGAAGGTTGACGGTGGTGTTGCCACACTGCTGGGAAGGGCGGGCCCCGCCCCGGCCATTGCTCAGCACCCCCGCGGGGTGACAACCGAGGGGACGCATGGTGGGGGGGGGCGGGAAACAGCGCGACACCCCGCGGGGACACCGCGACCCCGAGGCGGCAGCGCCGGGGCTCGAACCCTCGACCTCCGCGGCAAGAGAACGGCGCCCTCCCCGCTGCGCCACGGCGGCGGAGAGCGCGCATGCGCGGTGCGGGAGCGGCGGGAAGCGCTCAGGGGCGGCGTGGGGGGCGCTGAGTGGCCGCGGGAGCTGCGCATGCGCAGAGAGAAGGGCGAAGCCGCGGGGCGCTGAGGGCGGCACTGCGCACGCGCGGAGGCTGCGGCGCACGCGCACCGAGGCGGGCGAGGCGCTGGCGCATGCGCAGAGCGCGCCCTCGCCCGGCGGGCGGGAGGGACCATGGCGGCGCTGAGGGAGGCGCTGAGGGCGGCGGTGGCCGCGCTGCTGCTGCTGGGCTGGGGCGCCCACGGGCTCTACTTCCACATCGGCGAGACCGAGAAGCGCTGCTTCATCGAGGAGATCCCCGACGAGACCATGGTCATGGGTGCGGGCGGCGGGGGAGGCGGCAGGGAGCGGCGGGAATGGCGGGGGGACAGGGAGTAACGGGAGAGACCACCGGGAATGGCGGGGGGAGAGCGGGTAACGGGAGGGACCACCGGGAATGGGGGGGAGTAACGGGAGGGACCACTGGCACTTGGGGGGGTAACGGGAGAGACCACCGGGCACTTGGCGAGGGGGGGACACACGCGCACAGAATTTAGGACCGGGAGGAGTTACCGGGAGGATCCACCGGGATCGGGGGTGACCACGGGAGGGACCCCGGGCCCGGGGGTGACCACGGGAGGGACCCCGGGCCCGGGGGTGACCACGGGAGGATCCACCGGGCCCGGGGGTG